GCTTTAGAATATCGATACAGTATCGGGAAATGAAATATCGCGATATTTCAGTGTATCGATATTTTCTTACACACCTAACTTTTAAGTGTATACACTTACTTGTAAGTGTATTTAATTTAGTTATAATGTAAATACAATAAAAATTAAACCAAGCTTTTGAATAATTATCATTTTGATCCATACATTGGTAATGTCTGACTGGACCTCGTGTCACTTTTTGTTCAATAAATTGGGCCCCGARGTCAAAAWGGTTAAGAACCCGTTTTATATAATGTGGTTTTTCTGCACAAATATCATAACTTTGTAGCTGGATTTGACCTCAAAATGCTTTTAAAAAAAMCCCAAAGAATTCCATTGAACTCGTCGTGTCTGTGAATTCATGTTTGGATAGGCGGTACTGTGGAGCTACTTAGAAACTTCTTACCATCAAACACTGCAAAATGTGAATTCTTGCCATTTTTTTTAACGGTCTTAAAATTTTGATGAGGATTTTATTTAACAAACGGATCCCACATTACAGAATGAGTGAGCTCCTCTCTGCGCCTGTCCTGAGCCTGGTTCTGCTGGAGGTTTCTTCCTGATTAGCAGGGGGTTTCTCCTCTCCACCGTTTGCTCAGGATGGGAGACTGTGATGAAGTGATTCAACACAATCTGCTGCTTTCTTCTTTAGTTTGTTCTTTTTATGTACAGTGCCCTGAGACAACGTATGTTCTGATTTGGCGCTATATAAATAAATAAACTTAAACTCTCTACAAGCAGAAGTGTATCTGTTAGAAAAAAAAACCCTCAAGCAGCAGAACAGAACATATGTGAAAGTTTTTGTTTTGTTTTGCAGTCTGTGTCGAACACACCGCATTTTATTTAGAAGAAATGGAAGCATCAGGTATAAACAGAACGCTGGAGAAAGTCCTCAGTGTAAGAAYCAGTCTTTGTGACCATGTATCAGTTCACATCAAAGTAAAACACTTTAAGTTGAATTATCTATTTAAAAATACTACAGTGGCAATTCTTTTTAAATAAAACAGTTGTAACRTTTCTGTAGCAGAGGATTCAGCTCTACCTGCCTGGCTCCATGTTCAGATTTAAGTGACGCTGTCCTGGTCCTCTTCTGGTTGTTGTGAGTCACTGAACTCCTCCGGCCCCCATGAACACAGTGTTGATGGGGGGCAGCGAGGACACCAGGTCCTCTGAGGACGTCGTCCCACGCTGCTGAGACATCAGGGTGTCCTGCGAGCTAAAGGGAAGCGCGAACATGCAGGGAGCAGAACCGGTGGGTGGGAGGAGAGGACCTGAGGAGCCGACAGGAGACGTTTGAGACCAAACTAAAACACTTCTGGACAGGACAGAGAGAGTGGACTCGTGTCCCRGTACTGACCGGGTTCTGTTTCGCTGTAAAAGCCTCCCGTGGTTTTCCTTCCCGGGTCGCTCAGCAGGTTCAGCGGATCGTGGACTTCGGAGAAGGTGGACGGGAACGGGCGCAGGCTTCCCACGCTGCTGATGACTGACACGTGCTGGTCGACCAGCGAGGTCATCCGCTGGCTCGTCAGGTAACTGGTGCTGCCGTAGAACCCTGCTGCTGCAGGAAACAAACAAGCTGAGCGTGTTTTATTTTATATTCCTGTGATTTCACACAACACATCAATTTGGACCCAGATGCTGTTAAATTGCTGACTTTAAAAGGATCCCTGATTAGTTGTAACATTAGACTTTATTTGACAAACATATGTTTTAACTGTAAAATAAAGACTAAAAATACTGTAAGATGTTTAGTTTTGGAAATTTTTAAAAATATATTTTAACACAGACAGGGCCATTTTA